AAGGCTGATCTGCTTCTCTTCCCGTGTGGGATCTTAACACAGATGAACAGAATGATTTAATGCAGGCATGGCCAACCCATGGCTTGTGAGTCGCATGCAGCTCTTTGGCTGGTTCAATGCGGATCCCGGGCTTTCACATGACAAGCGTCGAAAACGCCTTGGCGGCGGCACTGCAATTCAAACAACAGCGCTAAGTGCATCAGAACTTACGATGTCAGTCTATCATCAATCCTGTTACTTGATTGACATACAGGGCAACCAGTCAGATGATTACTGAATTTTGACCTTTCGGTCACCGCTTATGCGCAAACAACGGCGCTAAGCGCTAAGGTAGTCAGCGAATTACCTCTGATTTTAAGGCAGGGGTTTGCAATACGTCAATCGCGATCCACTGCAATCCAAGGAACTGGTCCCAAGTCGACCACAAGTGGTGGAAGGAGTAAACGGGGGGAAAAATTAGGGGGAGTAATTTCAGAGTAGTGATGCATGAGTGGACAAGTTAGACAGGTAGGAGCTTCTACATTAGCATCTCTGGTGAGTACATCCATCCATCCATTTTCTGATCCGCTTTATCGCAGGGTGTGCTGGAGCCTTCCCCAGTTTTCTTTGGGCAGTAGGCGGGGGACACCCTGAACAATCGCAGGTCACACAGAAACGAACAACCAGTCGCGCTCGCACCTAGGGACAATTTGGAGTGTTCAATCAGCCTGCCATGCATGTTTTTGGAATGTGGGAGGAAACTGGAGGACCCAGAGAAAACCCACGCAAGAACGGGGAGAACATGCAAACTCCACACAGAAAGGCCGGAGCTGGAATTGAACCAGGTACCTCTGCACTGTGAAGTCGACGCGTTAACCACTGGATCACCGGGCCGCCCATATATATATATATATATATATATACCACACCATATATATATATACCACACCAGACAAGACCCAAGGTGTAGGTTGTGCAAAGAGGCACCTGAGACGATCCAACACATAACTGCAGGGTGTAAGAAAAAAACGGTGACCCCCAAACTAGATGAGTGGTTGCAACAGATCCCGGGAACATCGGACATCTCAGTCCAGAAATGTGCAGTGCTGGGAACAGCAAGGATACTGCGCAGAACCCTCAAGCTTCCTGGCCTCTGGTAGAGGACCCGAGCTGAATGAGGGATGGACACCACCGGAGGGGTGAGACGAGGATTTTTTTTTTTTGTATATATTATTTCCTCATTCAACGATAAGGTGTTCGAGTGACAGGCTGATGTGAAGACATTATCACGGACCAAAGTAAAAAAAAAAAAGTAAAAAAATATCTCTCACTATCGCTGCACATGGCTTCCCCACTTTTCTTTATATTGCCTCTGGTGTCTAGCAGACCCAACAACAATACAACAAAGGTCCTGCTGGTCAGCTATCTTGTCTGAGATGGTGGAAGTGCGGTGAAGCTTGACCGGCCCACTCTTGTTTACGTAACCTTCGCCACCTCCAATACCCGCTCGACCAAACAACAATTTACAAAGGTCCCGCTTGTCGCACGTGATCCCGTCCGCATTTTCAAAAATGCCGTGAAAAGCCGCTGGAACTCCTTAAATTGTTCTGTAATCCAATGTTTATTATGTCCACATGATTATTGTATCTAGCATCGAAGGTAATAGTCCAGTAAAAAAGCAAAAGGCATCGGTTGTCATCATTCGCCGATAGGTTGCCCCCGAGATGGTGCCACGGTTGTCAGACCGCGTGACCGCCAAGGGAGTCTCAGCCATCGCACTGATTCAAGTGAATGGGATTGTGCATTTGTGAAAATTTCAATATTTATAATAAATATTTTTTGGAGGGTTGAGAAGACTTCAGCTGGTTGCATATTAGTGTGTTTTAATGCGGCTTTCGATATCTGTCTGAATATCAACCTAATATTACAGTATCGGACCAAAAAGGTGGTAATTTTGTTCAGTATTGGGCCGATAATTATCGGTCCAATAAATATTGTGCATCCAGAGCATAAACATGATGCAAGTTATAAATTGTGAAAAGCACAAATGTTTAAAAGGAACCGGAGAAATGGAGTCAAGCCTAACTTTCCTGCTAAAATGAACAAAGTAGTCTCTCTTCTGAAGCCTTGCTTCTGAAAACTCTCTTCTGAAGCTCCTCTGCTCGCTCTCCTGCTACCGTGACCAGACGCGCCCTGCTGAAAGCGTGTGGCTTAAAATAAAAAATAAAAAATAAATCTTTCTGGTGTGCTCCAGCTTCCTGGCAATCTTTATTTTTGCATTTTCTTCTTTCTCATTTGTGCTCCCACGAGCTTTAAGTCTCTACACACCTGCAAAACGCCCGCAAGACTTCCAATTTACGACCAGTAAGACTTCCAATTTTCTTGGTTTTTAGGTTGTTGGTCCACACCACCAAGTGGAGAGCAAATGCGCTGTGACAATCCAGCTGCTCGGAAAACACCAGCAGCTGTGTAAGGCTGGGCACCCGTTTTTCGTATGAAGGCCAAGAAAACAGAGCTCCTAAAGTGCACTGGGTCGGAGCCACAAGCACCCTACCAAACTTTTGTTTTTCTTGTTTCCCGCCTTCTTTTTTTTTGCACAGTTTTATTTGTCTTATCTAAAGCATTATGAAAATTACAGGAGGGCTGTTTATTGATCTACAAACGTCATTCAATACTATAAATCATGACAGATTGGTCAGCAAATTGGAACCATCTGAGATAATGGGGGGTGTCTTTGAATTTGATTAAGAGTTACTGATATCTAACAAAAAGCAAGCCATTTGGGAAGCTGGGGTGACTATAATTCAAATGCTCGGCCATTTTACGTGGTGTCCCCCAGGGGTAAATGTTGGGGCCAAAATTATTCATCCTGTATATTAATGATTTATGAGTGTGGCTCAACTATTCAAGTTTTGGGCTGTTCTCGGATGAGACTAATTTTCTACTTTCCGTTGAGAAAATACAGTAGAGCAAATATTCGAAGTAATCACCAAAATTGAGAAAGCTAAAAATATGGTTTGATGAAAACAAGTAAGCAATACATTTAAGGAAGATACAATTAATGGTATTTGGATATGTTAAAACAAGGAATCAAGAAATATATCAAAAGAGGGTTTGAACATTTCGAGATTACTTTAACAATAAATCTGATTCTGATTCTTTGGAATCCAAAAGTAACATCAATCTTTATCTCTCTTGGAATTCTCAACTCAACTCAACTCAACTGTATTTATAGAGCACTTTTCAAACAACCATCGCTGTATGCAAAGTGCTGTACATGGAGCAAATATCATATGTAATTGTTATAACACCCAATAACACAGCAAGAGTGTACAGAGCAGCTGAGAAGCGTGTTATACATTCAAATGAAGAGTTGAATGTTAACCTGTACACACCTGCACCTTCCCCTTCCTCCACTTTACCAACACACAGCACTTCTGCCTGGCATATTCTCCCTACAGGCCCCAGCTGTCACTGTCTCATCCTGCTGCCATCTACCCCATTCAATCCATCATCACAGCCTGATCCCCTCACTACTATAATAACGAGAGAAAATATTTTAAAATGTCAAATCCAAATCTCCACCCACTCTCCCAATCTTCACTGTCTCCCACACATCACAAAATCCTCAAACTGGCTCTATTTAACACCCGCTCACTCAACAACAAAGCACTCGTCTTACACGAATTCATAACTGACAATAACCTGGACTTCCTCTTTATCACTGAAACCTGGCACAAACACTTGGACTACTTCTCACTCAACCAAGCCACCCCACCTGGTTACACCTACATCGACAAGCCCCGCCTCACTAGCCGAGGTGGTGGAGTGGCCTTAGTCCATAAAACAGAGTTTAAAATCAGCACTATATCCACCTCACCCACTGAGTCCTTTGAACATATCACCTTGAAATTCCTTGGTCCCTCCCCCCTGGTTTTTGCTGTCATTTACCGTCCCGCGAAGTTCAACCCATCATTTTTCTCAGACTTCTCCGATTTTGTCACACAGCTCCCACCTATCTCACCTTTCACTCTGCTCCTTGGCGACTTTAACTTCCATCTCGACAACACCAACTGCAAACATGCCTCTGAATTTCTTGACCTTTTGGACTGCCTTAACTTCACTCAACATGTCAACTTCCCCGCCCACACCCACGGCCACACTCTGGACTAGGTCTGTTCTACCAGTCTCACCACTGACAAACTCTCTAGCCCCAACCTCAACATTTCCGATCACCTGGCTATCACTCTGGACCTCCACCTCCCTACCCCCCTTCCCAAGGAAAAGCGCACCATATCATTCAGAAACCTCAAATCCATCTCCCCAACTTTCTACTTTTCTACCTCCGTTCTCCAGTGGCGGTTCTGGGGGGGGCCAACGGGGGCCAGTGCCCCTGTAGCACTGATTCTGGCCACCCCTGTGGCCCCCCCTCCGAACGTAGAATACGCAGTGGCGCAGAGTTGCAGACGCGAGAGGTGGAACCAATGTGCGTGGCTTAACATTCTAGTCGGACCCTTTAGTGTGCTGCAACACTCAAAATTGAGCGGGAAAATGAGAAGCAGTCCGCAGAGAAGCAAATTACCATGACACGAGTGCTATTTTCGACACGATTTATATTTTCAATGTAAAATCACAAAACGAAACAAGCCCCCAACAGTAGCATTATTAAGTCTAATTCCTCTTCACTTAAACATTTAA